CGGGGCGGTCACGTGGTGAAGCCCCGCCCCTTCTTTACCCCGCCCTCTGCTTCGATCCTCATTCCGTTTGGGAATGAGGATGAAGCAGGAGGGTAAGTAGCCGGGCCTTCTGACACACTTCCGGTGATGTCAGGGGGTGTGGCCTTCTGTCACTTCCGGTGATGTCAGGGGGCGTGGCATATGCAAATAAGTTATGCTAATTAGTTATGCTAATGAGCTCCGGCAGCTCTTTTTCTACAACAAGACCCCTGGATAGAACCACAAAATCTTGTAAAATGTACTCCCCTCCCTCTGCCAGCTTGGACTCTGCTTCCATTAATTTTGCCTCCCTTCTCCCTTCGTTGCCATTCTCTGCCTCTACAAGCAGTTAAGGTTAAGATTGGAAGAAGGGAGGAGGCACAGAACAAGAGAGCTTGTCACAGGGAGCACTTCAGGGTCAAGAGCCAGTATTGTTGCCTGTATTCTGGAGGACACTGGCAGTGTTCCCTCTAAGCTGAGTTAGTGTGAGCTAGCTCACAGTTTTTTAGCCTCTGGCTCACACATTTCGGTCTCAGCTCAGGAAGGATGGCGCCAGAGCAAACTAATTGATGCAGCAGCCAAATTGCTTGCTCACAACTTTAATGCCAGGAGCTCACAAAGTAGAATTTTTGCTCACAAGACTCCATAGCTTAGAGGGAACATTGGACATTGGGCCTGATTTGTAATGCCTGGAGGGAAGTGCAAGAGAGGAATCATGAAGCTGATTTCCAGGCCCTCTGCTATGAACCTCGTCCTCATTGCTTATGTAAATTTCTGCCTATTTGGTCCTTTATTCAAACGCTGTTATGGCAATCTCGCCCTCTTCCATTCCTCACATGCAGGATTTTCCCTCTATTTTTCCTTCCTTTCTGGCTGGGCAGCCCCTTTCATCTATTTCCTTCTTATCTGAAGGTTTATGGCTGTCCCACCCTGTCACATTATTATATTTTGATGCTGGCTCAGCCCAAGGATTTGAGGGAAGAGGCAAGATCACCTCAACTTATAGTTTTGAAAATGGAACTCAAGAAGTTTTTGAAAATTAAAAAATAAACAAGATACTTTATTCAACATAGAGGGGGAAAGGTCAGGTGAAATCAAGGGGGAAAGGTCAGGTGAAATCAAAGTAAAATGTCTGAGGTGAATCAGTAATAATTCTGAGGTAACTTAGTAATTTTACAAGCTTCAGTTCATATGTTTCCAGCAAGTGAGAGTGTTAAGCTTTTCACAAAGTCTTTGAAATGAGAGGCATTGGTTTCAGTGTTTCCTAAACACTCCATTTCACTTTCTTGAGTTTAACTGACTCTTCAGGTTTCAGAAAGCAGCAATACACTACCAAGTACCCAGATTCCTTCTCCAAACACACCAGGAGTCACTCCACTCTTTGAGCTATCTCCCTTTCCAGCTGGTTAGGGAATCACTTCTCTGACTAGAAGACTGATCCCTTTTTCTCGCCCAAATGGGGGTCTTCACTGCTCTGCCCACTCCTTCTTGCCAGCCTTCCCAGTCCTCAGTCAGTGCTAAACCTTTTTTCAGTCAGTGCTAAACTCTCCTCAGTCTGGGCTTAACTGTGCCTGTTCTCAGTCAACGTTAAACTCAGTCAGGGCTAAACTGAGTTCTCTTCAGCAGTCAGTTCCCAATTCTTTCTGCTGAACTGATGCTAACCAATCCAATCTCTTGGAGCAGTCTGTCACTCAAGGCTCACTGACTCTGTGAGGCATTAACCCTTCACAGTCCTTCACATGTTTACACAGCACTTACGAACTTTTAAAGTGTAGTCCATCAAACCTGTGTTGGCTGGGAATGCAGGCTATAAATGTTAGAAGTAAATTATTTTTAAAAAAATAGTGATGGGGACAACGTATAACACATTATCTTAAAATGTGAACCTTGGGGGAGAAAATAATAGCAGGAATACTAATTAGAACAACTAGATTGGAGTCCAGTAGCACCCAAGAGACCAACAGGATTTTGGGAATATAAACTTTCAAGAGGCAAAGCTCCCTTTGGCAGATAGAGTGCTCCTGGACTATCTGTTCTACTGCAGACCAACACAGCTAATCTCTGAAAATACTAATTAGATAAAATTCCTCTGCTTCCTGTCTATGTTGGAATGGGTGGTCAGAAAAAACAAAGCCAACATAGGAAATGGTCCTTAGCGATGAGAACCAGAAATAGCACATACTTGTAGGCATTTCCGGGAATAAATTTTGCCAGATCTCAAGTTGTTTCCGTCAATTTCCATATTTTATTTTCGTCCAATTGCCTGGCGTACAGATTTCTAGCTCAGCAGTCCAGTGGTTTGCACAATGTAGGCTTTAAATTATGTTGGTTTGGTCCACAGATGACTCACTTCGCTGGTGCTCTTCACCTCCAGGACATTCAGATAGCAACAGTGAGGGCCAGAGAACTTTTATCAGGCTTGCGACGTTTTTTCTCATTAGGTTTGAAGATTTTTCTCCCCGGCCCTTCCTTTTGCTTTCCATCTTATTTTCATCAAATAAACTAGATTGCATTGGCACTTAGTAGATATCGGTTGTTACTTACACATGGGCAGTACGTCACAGGCTCAGCCCACGATTTCCCCCAACAAGCATGCATTTTATTAGACCTAAATGGTTTCTTTTATTAGTGGGTGGTCAATTCAACACAAACATTTCCATATATGTTGTTCAGTCCAAGCAAAAGACGTTTCCTATCAAATCTGATACAGCAATTTCCTGCTATATTTAGGATTGACCCAAACATTTCCTCTGCTCCCCCTGTGATACACCCTGTGTTATAGCCCTCCTCCCGACCTGGAGAAAGGGAGACTCACTAGAGGTGCCGTGGGCTCTTTCTTTATCAGATCTCAAAAGCACATCAGTTAACCACAGTCAGTCAAAAGAAAGGCAATTTATTTTACAAAAGAGCAAATATCAGTACTTTCAAGAATCCAAAGCAGAAAACTTTAAAAAAGAACCCAGCCACTTAAACTCTCTCGGTTTGTCTTTAAAAGCAGGTTCTTGCTCCAGAAAAAGTCTCAGACAGGAGGGAAGGAAAATTTTCAATCTTCTCCTTCTGATAGTCTGGTTTAGCCACAAGAGAATCCTCTGTCGTTGAAAGAGATGGAGATGAAAAACTGGCCTTCTACCTACTAATTTTATCCACTGTCTTCCCACTAACAAGCTGACAATTAAATAAACCTGACCTTTTCCAGCCAAAATGCAAAGGCTTCATCCTCCTTGACAAACATCATATTTTAACAGTTGATAGAATTAACCAGCACATAGGCCTGTTAGCTTTCCACACTCTCCTTTTAATCCTCGTTCACCATGATGTCCTCCAAGCCATTCTGCACTGAAATCGAATCGAATCTTCTTTTTAATCCAGTTTTTTTTTTCCTATTCGGCACTAAATTTTAGTTCAATCTTCTTTTTATTCTGGTCTCCCCCCCCCCCCCAATTCCCAGTTTCAGCCTGCTGTTGCCCTGGGTTATTTGGGTGCTGTTTTGCCGTGGACTAAAATTGCCTCGACTCAGACACTGAGAAAATCCAGAGTGGCAGGCCAATGAGGAAAGGACCACAGTAATGAAGTTTTAAAGAGCAAGACGCAACTATAACTGAGCAGTGCGCACACACACCCCTTTCCCTGCAGAGCTCACTTGGCCTTATGACCAGTGTTCCCTCTAAGCTGAGTTAGTGTGAGCTAGCTCACAGTTTTTCAGCCTCCAGCTCACAGATTTTTTGCTCAGGAAGGAGGGCTCCAGAGCCAACTAATTGATGCAGTAGCCAAATCGCTCGCTCACAAATTTCATGCCAGTATCTCACAGAGTAGAAGTTTTGCTCACAAGGCTCCACAGCTTAGAGGGAACATTGCTTATGACCCCTTCCCCCACCACTTCCCATGAAAAATCAAAAGTAAACAGAAGAGAGAAACATATGTATGGGGGGGGTGGCAAACAGTGTTCCCTCTAAGCTGAGTTAGTGTGAGCTAGCTCACAGTTTTGTAGCCTCTGGCTCACACATTTTTGTCTTAGCTCAGGAAGGGATGGCTCCGGAGCAAACTAATTATGCAGTAGCCAAATCACTGGCTCACAGCTTTAATGCCAGTAGCTCACAAGGTAGAATTTTTGCTCACAATTTTTGCTTTTTACTAATGTTGCTTTGTTCTCCTTATTGTTATTATGGAGCCTGTTTTAATATTGTATGTATTTTATATTTTAAACCTCAGGGTGTTCTGATAAAGTGGAAAGGGATTTTTAGAAGGGTCACTGACTTTCCACCTAGCAGCTTTTTGTAATTTTAAAATGCTATTTACTTTACTGAATCTTTTCTGCTGTCCCCATTTTGTATCCAAATGCATCTTGGAGCTGCAGATACTTTTCTAGCACAAGATCGCCTCTCCCTCCTGTGTTACTTTATGAGTTTCTCTCCTGGGGAAGTGTTGTATAGATTTTACTTCTGATATACTTCTGCCACTTTCCCTATCGTATCAAAGTGACACGATCATCATGTCATTTAAGGCCTCGGGTAATCTTCTATAACATTTGTTAAGGACGTTCCATTAAAAAGTTTATATTCTACATTCTACGCACAAATTAAACGTTCGTTGCAGAATCAAATTAAAATATTGTTTTTTGGAGGATACCGGGATGGATCCTACCAGCTTTCTGAGTCAGTCTTGCCTGATTCCTCTCCTCACTGCAGCTCCCCACCCCTACGTGGCTTGTGCCCATGCAAGTCCCACGAACCCAGCGTAGCCTTTTCAGTGGCTGCCCCCTTATTCCAGTAGCTTATTTAGCCCAGGCTAGCCTGATCTCATGAGACCTCAGATGCTAAGCAGGGTCGGCCCTGGTTAGTGTTTGGATGGGAGACCACCAAGGGAGACCAGGACTGCTACACAGAGGCAGGCAATGGCAATGCACCTCTGCTCCCTTGGCTTGTAAACCCCATGATGGGGTCACCATCAACTTGACAGCACATCCCCCTCTCCTCCCCCTACAGAAAAGCTGGTAGAGTCCGTTGCAGTGTTTGCTTAACCTCTATGGATACACATATCCCATACCTTTAAAAAATTCATATTTAAAATCTATTTATTTATTGAACAAGACAGCTTAGTGTACAGCCTTTCTTCAAAGCTAAAGGACTTAAATAAAATAGAAAATACATACTCAATAGCACCCAAGTACTTTAAAAAAGGCATCTGCTTACTGCATTACGTACATTCGTCACACATTAAGATCAGACTATACCAGTGATGGCAAACCTTTTAGAGACCGAGTGCCCAAACTGCGACCCAAATCCCACTTATTTATCGCAAAGTGCCAACTTGGCAATTTAACCTGAATACTGAGTAAGGAGCTGCGGTGGCTCAAGTTGTTAAGACGCTGAACTGCAGGCTGTGGAAGGTCAGTAGTTCAGCAGTTCAAGACCCGAGTGTGCCGCATGACGGAGTGAGCTCCCGTCTCTAGTTCCAGCTCCTGCCAACCTAGCAGTTCGAAAGCAAGGAATTGCAAGTAGATAAATAGGTACCACTTTGGTGGGAAGGTAACAGCGTTCCGTGCGCCTTGGTGTTTAGTCATGCCGGCCACATGAGCACGGAAATGTCTTCAGACAGCGCTGGCTCTTCGGCTTTGAAACGGAGATGAGCACCACAACCCTAGAGTCGGATTCGACTGGCTTTCGAGCAAGGGAACCTTTACCTTACTGAGGTTTTACTTTAGGAAAAACAACTCATACATTAACTTAAGATGATCCAAAGTAAGGAAAGCAATCCCAAATGCTTTCATTTACTTAAAATTATTTGGCAGAGAATTCAACACTTTAATGATGGTCTGGGCCTGGCTGGGGCGATGGCACGCGTGCCCACAGAGAGGGCTCTGAGTCAATGTTCCCTCTAAGCTGTGGAGTCTTGTGAGCAAAAATTCTACTTTGTGAGCTACTGGCATTGAAGCTGTGAGCGAGCCATTTGGCTACTGCATCAGTTAGTTTGCTCTGGAGCCCTCCTTCCTGAGCGGAGACAAAAATGTGTGAGCTGGAGGCTAAAAAACTGTGAGCTAACTCACACCAACTCAGCTTAGAGGGGACATTGCTCTGAGTGCCACCTCTGGCACCCGTGCCATAGGTTCGCCACCACTGGACTATACCATACATTTCACTATAGGTTGTTGCAGAAGTAAAAAAATTCTTTGTATAGCTTATTTAGAGGAAGCATGTTATTACAAACCAAAAGCTCCATTATTGGAAGCCACATTCGACAAAATTTAAGCTATCCTCCGTGTCTGATGCCTGCAGTTATTCTTGCCATAACCGTCTGTCCCCATATTTTTATATACCAAAGTTCCAGAAATGGGGGCATATTGTCCTTCCATGTTGATGCTATGGCTATTTTGGCAGCCGCCAACAGGATTATAATTAACTCTTTTTTAGCTTTCCATGGTGAGGGGTCCATCCAGTGGTTTAACAATACAGCCTCTGGAGTAAAAGGAACCTCATATCCAGTAATTTAAAAAAAAATTGGTTGACCACGTTCTGCCAAAATTTATTATGAGAGTCGCAACTCCAACATACCTTTAACATTTAATAAAAATCTTGGGGGGGGGGATCTTGTCGTTGGTCTTTCAGCCCCAACTGAAGTGTCCTTTTCATTCGACGTGGGAAACGGCCCAGTGGAGATCATCGTGAGGTCACCCAGCCCGCTCAACGATGACCAGTGGCATCACGTCGTGGCTGAGCGAAATGTTAAACAAGCCAGCCTGCTGGTAGATCAGCTCCCAGTGGAGATCCGGAAGGCCCCTATGGAAGGCCACACCCGGCTGGAGCTGTTCAGCCAGTTATACGTTGGTGAGTTGATGCTGTGCATTGGGTGGTAAGTGCCCTGCTGTGTATGGATACTTAAGTGCTGTGATGCACTTTTTCAAAGCAGTTGGGAAATGACCCCTGACCTGCTGACAGGTAAGTTTGGAAGAAAGGAAAGGCACAGGTGAATTGGCAGGACATGAGGCCTGATTTGCAGTGGTAGTGGGAATAAACTCCAAGGTGAGACTGGAAAGAACCTGGGCTCCCCTCATATTGGTGAGAGGCTTTCCGAGTGGCAGGAATTTGCAAAACAGACTTCCTTAGGGTTGCCTGGTCCCCCCGGCCCTCGGGGGGGGGGGAAGGGGGGGAGGTTGCCAGCTCCAGGTTGGGAAACTCCTGGAGATTTGAGGAAGGAGCCTGAGGAAGACAGGGACCTCAGTGGGGTATAAAGTCATAGACTCCACCACTGTTCCCTCTAAGCTGAGTTAGTGTGAGCTAGCTCACAGTTTTTTAGCCTCTGGCTCACACATTTTTGTCTTAGCTCAGGAAACATGGCTCCAGAGCAAGCTAATTTATGCAGCAGCCAAATTGCTCGCTCACAACTTTAGTGCCAGTAGCTCACAAAGTAGAATTTTTGCTCACAAGACTCCACAGCTTAGAGGGAACATTGGACTCCACCCTACAAAGCATCCATTTTCTCCAGGGGAACTGATTTCTGTAGTCTGGAGATGAGCTGTAATTCCGGGGGGGGGGGGGATCCTCAGGTCCCACCTAGAAGCCGGCATCCCTACACCTCCTCAGTTCCAAATTTGCCCCCATTACCAGCCAAGTAGATTCAAACTCTTGTTTTGTATTTTCCTACACGGAGGAATAAAAAAAAAAAGGAGTTTTCTTACATGGTGTCTATAAGGAATTAAGACCTGATAAAAAGTCGTTCATGGGGACATTCATTCTGTTTATGTTCCATTTTCTAAGGCATGTCTATTGTTAGGGAAGGCATTCTTATATTTCGGATCTTCTTGTTATTTAAGTTCTGCAGCTTTTATCCAGTTTTATGCAGTAAAGTAATTAAGCTTTATTGCTATATCAGTGCCAGTTCATTGGGAGGTCGCACGGTGTTGTCAGAATAATTGAGTAGTGAATAACAACAGCCTGTGCCCCAAAAATAATTGGGGGTGGGCTTCTATTTTTAACTGTTTGGCTGCTGAAATGTTGAAAGTCAACACGGCCACTGTCATAGGAAGCACGCCATAGTTTGGTTAGGTCTCTCCTCCACTGCTCTGTAGTTTGAATTCATTTTTCGAAGAAGTGAGCTGATCTTTAATTGTCAGACTTCTGCCTTCGGCATGGTTATTTGTAATGAGTTGGACAGTTTAGAGCAATAGCCTCCAAACTCATCGAGCCTGTGGGCACTTAGGGAATTTTCAAAATGTGTCGCGGGCACCACTAGGTTCTCTCAGAGGCCCTGGAAGGCCCAGGCCAATTCCCGACTTCTGAGGCTCCTAGCCATAATTTTAAAATGTTAATTGGAAACTAGATTTACACAAATAAATAAATAAGGCCACTTAGAGGAGGGGATGGAGGAGGAGGAGGCAAAGGCTCGTCTCTTAGCAAGGCTTGGTGGAACAACCATTGTTTCCTCCACTTTGCCTTTAAGGTGGCATGGTGGAAGGAGACCTGGTCTTGCTCGTGGGAGTAGATTTGGCTCCTGATTACGTGGTACCTGATTAGAATTGTTTACTACACATAAGTCACGAAACCGATCCTGCTGATGCTGAAGCTGTCCTTTCATGTTCTTGTCCCGGTGCTGCAGGTGGACAGAAGGGATATCTAGGCTGCATTCGCTCTTTACGGATGAACGGGGTCACTCTGGATTTAGAAGAAAGAGCAAAAGTGACCCCAGGAGTGAAGCCTGGATGCTCGGGCCATTGCACCAGTTTTGGGATGTACTGTCAGAATGGCGGCAGGTGTGTTGAAAAGTACAACGGCTACTATTGCGACTGCTCCAGGACGGCGTACGACGGTCCATTTTGCAAAAAAGGTAAGGGTCAGAATAGGAGAATCAAACTGTGTTCCGAAGCAAAATACCTGGGAGCGGTACACGAGACACAGAAGATGTGCACTTCTTCCCATGCCTTGCAAAAATGGACCATGTTCATAGTTTGTTTCCCCGCCCATGTAAGGGAGAGCTGGAACCAGATGACATAATCAGCAGAGTCAAAGAATAAATCTTTTCCTGTCCCCTTTAAGCGGCAGATGTGTGGAATGGGTTGCGTGTTTGAATCTCGGTAAGGGAAACAAAATCTCCCTGAAACAGACACAAGTCGCTTTTCAGGAAGAAGGTTGGGCTGAATCCTTTCCTCTTGGTGCCAGTTTCTGTGAGCAGGGAGATTTGTCTGGTGTGGGATCATTCAAAATGCAGCATCCCTGCATCTTGAAGTGATACACGGGAGGGGGTCATGGTTCAGTGGCAGAGCATCTGCTTGGTACGCAGCAGGTCCCAGGTTCAGTCCCCAGCATCTCTAGACAAAAGGATCAGGTAGCAGGTGATGTTGAAGACCTCTGCCTGAAACCCTGGAGAGCTGCTGCCGGTGTGAGTAGACAACACTGACCTTGGTGGACCAAGAATCTGATTTGGTATATGGCAGCCTTACACGTTCATGAGTTTTTGGTGTTCGAGTTCACACTGAAGTTTCGACTGGTGTATGCCAGAGGCTGCTTCCACACTGGGGCACAAAAACATCCCCTCCTGTGGCTGCAGTGGCAGGCAGAAGCATTGAAACAGGTGGGATGGTGTCCACATGCCCCTGTTCCTGCTGGACTGCCCCAACTCTGCTCTTCCACCTTTCCCTCCATCACACTGGCGCAGAAGCACCAACTCAACAACAGTCATACCATAAAGGGGTGAGGAGGAAATGAAGTGATTAGCTTGACCCATCTTGAAGGCGGAGCTTAGCTCCACCACCACCCTGCCCCGTATTGCCAAGAGGTAGATGGTTCTTTTCCACTGAAGGATTCTGAGAAAACAGCAAGTCATAAAACAGAGCTGCTTACACACCCTTCTGCTGGTTTGGTACCCCCCAAAATGACAACGAGCAGACCCTTGGACCTGAACTTCAGCTCAGGCTGAACTGTGGAGTAGCGTTGTGCTGTTGGTCGGGCTCCACAGTGCCAGAACCACCTTTGCACTGGCATGCCCAGTCTTCATTGAGGATTTCCCTGGTGATCTGGGATGACTGGCCCACTGGACTCTGCCATCTTCCAGTTCCTGACGTATCAGATTAATTTGCTAGAAAGCACAGTAAAAGTAAAGACTTGCTCGTACAAACTAATCGGATCCAATAAAAGTATTGCCACCTATGTTTTGTCTTCTGGGGGGGGGGGAATGTAGCCAATCCTTATCCCTAGAGGGTTATTTGAATATTTGTATTTTATACTTTGCTCTTTTAAGAATCATAAATATTTGCACTAATCATTGAGAGGCCTTTAAATTTAATTGTATTTTTATGAATGTCACAATAGATCGATACAGAGGGGGGAAAGGACCTCATCGAGGGAAAAGAAAGAAGAAAAATAAACAAAAACGAGGAGATGGAAATCTGGTAGTGGAATCCTTTGCTGACTTACTCCAGTCTAAGACCATTGCCATACGATAAATAACTAACCACTGAAATCAATTGGCTTAGTCTGGAGGAACTCTACATAGGATTGCAGAGTAAATTATACTGCTAGATGTCTAATCAGTTATTGATATGTCTTCACACAGTTCTAGGTATTCTTACAAAGTGAGAATAGTGTTTTAAACACACAGCCACCCAAGGGAAAGTGTAGGGCAAAATAAATAATACTATGTTCTCATCAGGTCTCAAAGTATCTTCTTCTTTTTTTAGCCCCCCCCCCCCCCCGGAGGGGATTTTTTATTGCATTTTTTAATAGACTACAAACTACAACGAAAAATTGGGAAGGGGTAACTACATCTAGGGAGAAAGGAATCACTACTAACTAAAACCCCAAGTATAGGAGATCATAACAATAGCTTATATAAATGTTAATCTTAAATTGCTAGCATTACTTTGAACATAGTCGGTTATGCTAATTTTTTAATCTTTTTAATCCAATGATTTAACTGTTTAAGAGAACCCCCAGAGCATCCCATAATAAAACTGAAGTTTTAAGGCACAAGTCAGAGTCCTTCAGCCTTCATTTTGTCTTACCTTTTCTAATCCTCAATTTATATGTACGCTTGGGGGCAGCCGCCCCCTTATAGGTCTCAAAGTATCTTTAAGGATTTTAACAAGCCCTAGTTTGTTTGTTTTTTCTGCTGCGCACATGGCTGATAATTAGCATATACATAAAACAAACCAAGAGACTGAGAACCTTGACTGGAGCCAGAAAACAAGAGTTTGCATGCATGCTCACAAAGACACACGCACGGTTATCCCCCCCCTCCCCTTCTGGCCAGGGACATAGTTATGTTGCCTTCTGCAGTGTGATTTTTGAATAATGAATGATAGCATGAGTGGCAGTCTGTCTCATTTCCTTTTTTTATCTCAGCTCAAATTCATGGCATTCCTTGCTTGCAAAAAAAAATAGTCCTGTTAGACTGGATATGGATGCTGAGTGTAACGAATGCTTTTGTCAGAAATTCAGTTGTCCAAGCTGATTGCCTCAGTCCAAAGCTTGGCTTTACAAGTGGGGTCCCATCGAGCGGACCCTGGCCAGAGTCCAGAGCGATCTCCGAGAGCCCAGGAAAGAAAACAATGGGGGCGAGACAAGCAGGGGTTTCAGAATGACGACAAACCAGGTTGTTGCTTTGTAGTTCAGGACAAGGGGGTTGTTTAGAAAGAAAGGAAGGGATTCGTTCATTTATGCCTGCCCAAAGAAAAGGGATAGGAATAGACTCCTAAGAATTTACAGTGATTGGAGGGGTTAAGCAGCTGCTCTTGAAACACCTAGACTGCTTCTTCAACCACTACTCTTCATGCTGTTTTACAGTCCTTGAAGGCCACGGCTGTGTGTAGCTTTGAATGGTGGTGGTGAGTAGTGCTCTCAAGTCATAGCAGACTTACAGCGAATCCATGGGGTGGTCAAGGCAAGAGAGGAATGGGGTGGTTTGCCTACGCGTGCCTCTTTGTAGCAACCCTGGACTTTCTTGGTGGTCTCCCAGTCAAGTTCTAACCCAGGCCCGCCCCTGTTTACCTTTCCAGTTCTGACATGATGGGTCATCCAGGAAGCCCTGAGAAACCAGTAATTAATTGGCACAAGTCCATACATGGTAGCAGGCCCATAGCTAATGCGGGGCCCACTGTGCCCAGCCCCCTAGCGTTTCTTCCGGGGGCCCTCCCTCCTGGGCTGGCCCCAAGTTGAATTAATGTAATTATTTAATTAGCTGCACCCCCCCAGGCCCCCTCCCCCCAAAATCCCTAGCTACGAGGCTGCATGGTAGAATCTGGCTTTCCCCCTCAATTGAGGATCATTTCAGACACAGCTTCGACTGTACAATCATCAGTAGAGTTTCACCCTTCTAAGTCGACAGGCTTAGAAGGGTGTGACTCTGCTGAGGATTGCCCTGTGCTTATGGAGAGCCTAAACACAGTGGGGTCTCGGGGTCATGCCCAGCCTGCACAATCAGTGTACTTTTCTCATTAGGCTTGCCAGGTCCCCCCTGGCCACTGGTGGTGGATGGGGGATTAGTGTTGCCAGATCCAGGTTGAGAAACTCCTGGAAATTTGGGGATGGAGCCTGGGTAGGACAGAGGCCTCAGCTCTTGGAGGATTGGCTACATTAGGGGTGTGTCGCCTATTATGCAAAGGAGTTCCTGCTACAAAAAGAGCCCTACCACAGAGTCTACCCTCCAAAGGTTTCATTTTCTCCAGGTGAACTGATCTCTTCAGTCTGGAGATGAGCTGTAATTCCAGGGGATCCCCAGGTCCTGGAGGCTGGTATCCATATCCATGAGTTGTGTTTATTTACTTACTTCACTTATACCTTACTTTTCTCTCCAGTGGGAACCTAAAGAGGCTTATATCGTTCCTCTCTAGTTTAGGCTGAGATTGTATGACTGGATCAAAGTCACCTACCGATCTTCCATGGCAGAGTCGGGGATTGAACCTGGGTCCCTCAGATCCTAGTACGACTCTCTAGCCACTACACTACATTGGCTGTGTCGTGGGCACGTTATTATGTTCCTATAGAAATGATGCTCATAAAGTTGAATGTGGATGCCCTCGGCCATGTGGTTATTAAGCATCATAAAATCCAGGAAGTGGTTTAGGCCCCTGCATGTTGGACTTCATGTGTCATATAATATATTTGATGAACTTGGAAACTTTTACGAGACACCGTGAGGCTGTTTTATTTACCGGAGCTTTTAATACTGTGTAGGTTGCAAATATTTTATTGCATTGGATTATGTTTAATTAGGCAGGGTTTCGTTGCTGTTTTATGTCTCTGTTATGTATGGTAATCCACCTCAAGCCATGGGGAAAAGAGGGATATCAATGTCTTAATGTACTAATTTTTAATCGTATATATGTAGATTTTTACACTCCATGTTTCGGCCCAGTGGGGACACAGAGTAGCTTACAACTAGGGTGGTCAGGTTCTCCCATAGGGTGGGGGATTCCCCGGTTTCAGTTGCTCCTCTCCATCCCCCCAATTACCCCCATGGGGAGGGAAGAAGCCAGAAATAAACACAGCGTGCCTCCATCAGTCAGAAGTGATATAGGCACATCGGTGATGGGAGGGGGCAACCAGTGTTCCCTCTAAGCTGACTTGGTGTGAGGCAGCTCTCAGTTTTTTAGCCTCCAGCTCACACATTTTTGTCTTAGCTCAGGAAGGGATGGCTCCAGAGCAAACTAATTTGTGCCGTAGCCAAATCGCTCGCTCACCATTTTAATGCCGATAGCTCACAAAGTAGAATTTTTGCTCACAAGACTCCACAGCTTAGACGGAGCATTTGGGGCAACGCTCTGGTTTTGGGGCAAAACTCTGGTTAGAAGCTAATTCTGCCGTACAGTTTTGCCCAAAAACTAGAGTGTC